TCGGCGTGGACTTCAGTCCAACGACGGTCAGAGAAGCATTTGCGCGCAGTGTGTGCGGTGTGTGCAGTGTGTGCAGAGCGCACGCACGCACAGTGGAGAGAACAACGTGCACGGGCGGGCGGGTGGGGACGCATACAGTGAGCATTCAGAGCGGCAACATGATCATCAGCATCATTCGCATCAGAGGCCGCATTGCCCTTAAACCAATTCGAAACCACTCCCAAGTGGGTATTCAATCTTTGCAACAAACCAGTGGCAACGTATTTGGTCATTAGGTCTGCGGGATTCCGCGCGCCTTCAATCCTGGCCATTCGAAGCAAACCCATTTGCAACAAATTCTGCACATAGAGGAACCGCAGTTCCACATGTTTCGTTTTCTTTCCTGTGCCAGAGCGGGTTGCCATTGACTTGCCGGCAGTAGAGTCGGTGCGGGCAATCACACTGACTTTCTTGCCAGTCTTGCTTCACGCAACATTGACCGAAGGAACCGTGGCCAATCGCATATAGTTCCGCTTCACCGGAAGACAGCGCCAATGTACCCTGCGTCGTAGCAGCGCTGACCATATTGCACCCAAGGACATTCACAGTAGATCCGCTGGTTGTGTTCCTTGTGTTCGAGCAGCCAGCCGAGTCGGAATCCACATAGACATTCACATCCAACAAACAGTTGTCATCAGACAACTGATAAGATGGACGCAGTCTCAAGACACACATTTTGGTACCAATCCGGTATCTCAACAAATGCTTAAGCTTGGCGACACTCTGCATTGTCGGGGCAGTCACATCCCGACTCAGTTCTTTCGTGTCACCTCTGATCAGCGCCAACCAGAGCAGTTTACCAACTGCAGCCCTGCACAACGAGTGTTGCTCAGGACTCAAAGGTGTGCCCGAAACAGTCTTGGCAATCGTCACGGAGCCAGTCGTTGCTACTGGCTTGGCATTCTGCGTTCCACACAGATCCAGAATCGAATCAATGTAAGTCTGCGACACGCAAACATCAATCGAATCACAAGAAAGGTGCGCTCAGTCCCTGGCACAAGCTGGCCAGTCTCTTTGAACAACACTTCTTCTGACAGTCTGGACATAAAGTCCTTGCGCATTTCGTCAGTCCCTACGACCAACAGATCACCGACATACGCAAGCACATACAGTCGTCCCGATTCATGGCAGTAGAGATTCGGATCACGCTTGCATCTCCTGAATCCCATTCGTGAGGCCATTACCTCAGCGAAATGTTCCTGCCACAGTTTTGGAGCCTGTCTCAGTCCACACATCGCCTTCTTCAACTTCCAGAGACAGTCGCCATTAGGATAAAATTCCTTTGGTGGCCAGATGAACACTTCACCTGACATTGCTGCATGCAGGAAAGCAGTGCTCACATCTCCCAAGGTAATTCCACAGTTTCGAGCAAGTGCCATGCACAGCAGCAATCTCATTGTCACAAGTGAAGGTGTCGAGGCAAACAGGTTGTCTTCTTCATTCTTCCCGACATTCTGGAAACAACCTCTCACAACCACTCTGCACCGCAGGTCTGTCTCATTCTTCCAGACCTTGACCCATCTGCGGTCGAGGGCCTCATTGACCTGATCCTCAGTGCAAATCTTTCACCATCACCTCATCATACACATCAAATTCCTTCATCGACTTCATCTTCTTGATCATTCCCTTCTTCTCGGCTTCAGGAGGGAACTCACTCTCCCAGAGCAGTGGCTCTGCGAGTCGCATTTCCTGGTCAAGTTCTCATTTACCTCGACCTCAATCTTGGTTCCGTCTTTGCCAACAACCTCATCAACTCCAGCAATCGAAGCAAGCCATTTTCAAGCGAAAATCACTCCTGCGATGACGTAACGCACAGCAGAAATCCTCATTTGCTTGCTCGCAGGCTCCGTCGCTGGAGCATCTGGATCAATCCTTGCTTTCTTTGGTGCATTCTCTCCAGGTTCAGGAGAGTCATGGACAGTCTCGGCAGGTGCTCGATCAGAGCCGTCATTGTCCAAGATGTCGCGAACAGTCAGGCTTTCACTCTGTCCAGACACCATATCCTCGAGCTGTTCATTCTCCTCATTCTCTTCTTCTTCCTCGACGCACGACAATCCAGGACGAGGCTTCACTCTGCCTTTCACTCCAAGATCAGGCGGCATTACGAACGCAGTCGAGTCAACTCCATCACCGTTGGGTTGCCACGGCACTGACAACATTTTTGACACTCCTACAGCATTCCATTGCTGAGACGGAGGTCTCCGCTTCACAGCGCGGACCTTGAAGCATTTCCAAGGATGACCTCATCTGCCTCAGTGTCCTTACCAAGGTACACTCCGGAGAACCATTGAGATCCTCCTTTCGGAAGCTTCACCTTCCTGTTGATAGGCAGTTTTGCGTCAATCCTTTCACCAAGCATGCATAGTGATCCCATGGCCGACACTTCCTTGACTCTGGGAGTGTCCAGTCGGTGCTGCGCGCATCGACAGTCCACCAATCGCCTTGCAGGCAATCACCTTCAGTGAACTCCTTGTCATATTGGACAATCCCGAAGGTCCGTCCAATCTCAAACACAAATCGATGCAGTTCGGGCACGGCATATTTTTCAATGCTGCCTTTCGCGGGCCACACTACAGCCATTGAGTAGGCAGTCTGCACTTCGGTTGCACTCAAGATCGTCCGCTTCGGAAGATCATTCTCCGTTGCCAAGAAGGAGAAGTCTGAGAAGTCAATCTGGATCACTGGTTGTCGATCATTCTTCTTCACGGCATGACTTTGCCGTCCTTTCGACCGAACCCAGTGATCACACCAGTCGCGACACGACAAATGTGTCGACTCACGCAGTCTTCTCTCACTCTCCCAAGGTTCACCTGGAATCTTCAGCATTTTCGGCTTCAATGCGTGGCATTCTCGCCAGCAGTCGGTCTGTCAAGAGGAACAAACAGTGTGTACCCAACCCGTTTGTGACCAGTGTGACCTCGCGGGTCATCACACTTCCTGACACTTCCATCGGGCATCTCAATGTCTGCCCATTCATTCTGATGTCCTGCGTCAATCTTGGAAGGGTCACTTGAGTCGAAAAACATTGTGTATCGATCACCCCACACTCAACAATCCATGAACAGGTGAAGGAGCATCATCTGGGTGGAAGTAGCAGTCTCTCCACTCATGATGCATTCGTATCCAATATCGAGGCCATCCTTGTATGTCTTGTACGTCACTCGCTCACCAGTCAGTCTCGACCAAGGACCAGTGATTGGCACTAGAGCAGCTGCGGTCAGTGCTCCAATCTGGAACAAGCGGTCAATCGAGCCATCATGCACGTCCGACACTCCACGCAACTCAACGGACCCAAGTTCACGCTCAATCCCAGTCATCACTTCTGGGAGACAACTCGCTGCCATTCTTGCCGCGTCTGCCACGGCATAGGGTATGACAGTCGGCGTCAAACACACCAGTGTTCCTTGATGCACAATCGGGACAGGATTGCCAGTCGGATCAATCAAGGCCAGGTAGTCCTTGGCCATTACCGTCCAGGAAATCTTGCAACAACAGTCGGGCAACACTCACCAGTGGGAACGGTATCCTAGTGCACACATAGAATTGTACACTCAACGAGTGACCATTGCCACTTGGCTGTGGCAATCTTGCGACCTTGCACATCCAGCGCCTTTCCGGACAAGCTACGCAGTGAAGGGGCACACTCACTCAAAGGCAACACAGGGTAGTCCGGCGCAAACCATTCCGGACAGCAGTTCGCACAAGCTCCACTGTCGAACAATA